GTAGACAACAAAACTGTGAGCTGAAAAAGATGTCTGTTGCTCTCTTCTGTAATGTGCCTGTGTTTTATTTTAAACATATTAAGTTAGTCGCTTTTTATATCAGTTCTTTCCCCCATGTCTGTGTCTCTGTGTTTCAGCCATATACCTAACCTTCTAATTGTATTTAGAATGCTATGATGTGAATATAGTTTGAGTTCTGGAATCTTGGTGCCCAACGGTGGTGTGGAGGTGACAGAATCTTTAATGGTGAGGGCTTAGATATTACCAGGTGGGTGGTTAGAACACTGGGAATCCTGTGCCTCAGACAAAATACTCATCTCGGGAGAAAACAGTTTCACTCCCATGAAAGAAAACTGTTAAGAGAAGAAGCCTGGCCAGACAGTGATGGTGCACTCGGGAAGCAGAGGCAGGAGAATCTCTGACTGAGTTAAAGGCCAGTGCCTGGTCTACAGAGCGTGTTCCAGGACAGCCAGAGCTACACAAAGAAACCCTGTCTCAAAAAACAAAAGAGGAGGAGGAGGAAGAGGGGGAGGAGGAGGAAGAGGAGGAGAAGGAAGAGGAGGAAAGGAAAGCAGTCCCTGAAGCTTCCTTCTCACCTTGTAACTGTCCCCTCCCTCTGACATGTAATAGGTGTTCGTTAAATTTGAAATGGACAAGGCTATTCAATCTCAGACTTCCAGTTTTCAAAACTGCAAAGTAATTAAACTTTGTATGTCATCTAACCTTTAGCATTTTGTTACAGCAGCAGAAAATAGATCAAGACATTTGCCAACATTGAAGATTTATATCTGGGCATAGCAGTATGTACCTGTCTGTAATTCCAACATCTAGGAGACTGGGAACAGAGGGAGTCTGAAGCCACCCTGGGTTATATGGTATGTTTAGACCAACCTTGACTATACAGCACCCTCTGTCTCAAAAACAAACAAACTCAAATAAGGGAAAGGGGGAGGAGGGGAGGGAGGGTGAACTGTGGTTGGTATGTAAAATGAATATATATAATATATATATATCCCAAATAATGATCCTTGTGTGTTTATATACACTAATCCGACCCTTTTTCTACTTTTGGTGTTTTCTTCTAAAGGGCCTCACCCGTTGGTCATTTTAACTTCTAAGTACATTATCTATCACCGGTGTAAAATTTGCCGGTTTTGCTAGGGGTGTTGGTAATTCCACCTGAGGCAAGAGAATAGAGAGTTCTAAGGCAGAATGAGCTACATAGCATGACCCTGTCTCAAAAACAACACACACACACACACACACACACACACACACACACACACACACAAACTAATAGATTTTTGTTCTTAGTCTTAAATTTGTTTATTACTAATACTAGAACTTTTAAAAAGAAAAAAATAGACTAATTAGCGTATATTTGAACCCGGAATAATTCATGAATCGGTAGCACGCAGAACCAGGACAAGTTCAGAGAACGCTGGGATGTGGGCGAGGAGTAATTCTTCTTCTCCCACGGGAACTCTCGCTTTATTTTTATCTGACATCTTAGCGAACTTCTCGAATACTGGAGGTGCCAAGAATTTAAGACACTCAGGCTGTGCAGCACCCACCACATTCAAGTTGAATGAAAATCCTACAGTACGCTGCGGAATCCTACTTCGGATCCGACCCATCAAAATAGGAACCCCTGTCTGGGGCTCGACCGGACGCGGGAACGCCAAATTCGCGTTCGGAAAGCGTTCTTGCTCTTCCACCCCAGCTCCAGGGCCCTCCTGGGGGAAATTCTCTTTCAATTAGAGGTACTAATCCCGTCAGTGTTCCAGGAAGGGACGCTGTTTCGAGAAGGTAATTGGCCCTATTTCGAGTTGTTTTAATACAGTGGGGGGGAAAAAAAAAGAAAAGAAAAGAAAAAAGAAAAGCTGACCGTGATTTCACACAAAAAAATTTCAGTTACATGACGCACCCCCTTCAAGGAATATTGGGTCGTCTGGGCCGCCGTAGATTCGAGCGGAGCGCGCGTGCGCAGAAGCCTAGCGGCGGTGCGTCGGGTCAGCAGCTCGGGTAGGGACACAACCCCTAGCCATGAAGAGCCGCTTCAGCACCGTTGACCTCCGCGCTGTGCTCGCAGAGCTGAATGCGAGGTACGGTGGAGCGGGCCAGCAGGCCCGCGCGCTAGGAGCGCAGGAAGCAGAGGGAGGCCGGGCACCGGGTGGCCGCGCGTCGGGCCCGGGATCCCCGCGGTCGTCCCAGTGCCCCGGGGATTGCTTAGGCCTGGGGACCGACCTCGGGGCCGGTGACCTCGGGGGACCCCAGGGTCGCGGGACCCCATGCTGCCTTGCCCTGGCTCTGGTCCGGCGCGATTCTGCCGGGGCGGCTTGGTAAAACTGGAGGTACCCGAGTGACGGTCATCGATTGCCCGGTTCTGGCGGCCTGGTGTCTTTTCAAAACTCACACACCCTTCAGCCCCAAAGGGAGGGAGCCGTGCCATTGATTCCGCGGCAGTTCTCAGGTTTGGACCTGTCTTCTGAGCGTGTCTCTTGCTCAGCTGTAAGAGATTAGTCGTATTTTCGTGGGGCTCGGCTACTCCCACCCCTTGTAATAAATCAGATTAAATTTTACTGTGTTTCTCCCAAAGCACTGGACGGTTTCTGATGAAGGAAGTTGTCTGGTGTTGCTGACGCCGACAGACCGTTTTTGTGCCTAAATGTCTACAGTTAATTTGGGGGCGGAGAACCTTACCTTAATAGGCGGGCCTGATATCCTATTGAACAGTTCCCCTTCTTCAACCTTAATAAATGACGGAAAGTTTTGCTTCAAGCAAAAGCAGGGTTTTGTTACATGTTTCTTTTTATCTTTGCAGCTTGCTAGGAATGAGAGTAAATAACGTTTATGATGTGGATAACAAGACATACCTTATCCGTCTTCAAAAGTAAGAATATTTTATAGGCTTATTTTTGGTAAATAAATATGACATTTTTTTTTAACATGCACTTTAAGTTTTGTTTTTTTTCAGAGAGTTAAGCTTTGGCAAATTCCCTAAAGAAAAATTTGGCTTTCTCTTGAACAGACCCGATTTTAAAGCTACATTGTTACTTGAATCTGGTATACGAATTCACACAACAGAATTTGAGTGGCCTAAGAACATGATGCCATCTAGTTTTGCCATGAAGGTAAATTTTAAGTTTAAAGCTAATTTTTAAAACATTTACTGTGTGTGTGTGTGTGTGTGTGTGTGTGTGTGTGTGTGTAGGTGGAAACAACAGACAGGCACAAGTTGGGGCTCTCAAGTGAATGTCAGGACAACTTATAGGGAGTCAATTCTCCTGCTACATGATGAGGGGTAGGAAGTGAGGAAATCCAACTCAGATCCTCAGACTTGATGTGTGTGTCTTAACATGCTGGTATAGCTAGTCTTTCTCTGTCCCTCCTGCCAGCTCCCAAATAACCATACTATTATTATGAAAGCTCAGCTGCTAGCTTTAGCTCCTTTGTAACTAGCTCCTATAACTTAAGCTAACCCACAGTTTTAGTAATCTATGTTCTCCATATGGCTTTTACCACTATCGAATTTTGTGTGTACCACTTGTTTGGCATCTGTCTGGCTTCAACATCCTTCTTCCCAGCATTCTCTCTACCCTGAAACTCTTGCCTAGTCATTGGCCATGTAGGTTTGATTTAAACCAATCACTGTGACACATCTTCACACAGTGTAAAGGAATATTCTACAACATTTTGACCTGAAACTTGCTTGTTGTTGTTGTTTTTGGGACAGGGTTTCTCTTTGTAGCCCTGGCTATGTAGACCAGGCTAGCCTCAAACTCAGAGATCCACCTGCCTCACTTCCCTGGCATCCTCAATGCTGGAACTAAAGGCATGTGGCATCATTCCCAGCTTGGAACTTGCTGTATAGACCAGACTGGCCTCAAATTTCCGATGATCTTTCTTCTTGTGCTAGGATTACAGTAGTTTGCCATCATGTGCCACTCAAAAAATTCTTGAGCTGGGTGGGTTTGGTGGTTCCTACCTGTAACCCCAGTGTTCAGGGGCTGAGTAGGATGGTTAGTCTGGGCTACTTTACTGAGTGACATTTTGCCTCAAAAACCAGAAAAGAACAAACTCTTAGTACTCTTATGAGTTAAGTCTATTTGTTTACTTAAATGATAAGATTATTTTCTTTGCAATAGAGCAGAAGGTATTTTATATAAATAGCTATTGGCATATGATATAAACAGGGTAATGCCCAGTATTTGGTAAATCAGTGACTGCCCTGCTTCTCATCATTATTCTAAAAGATAGAATACAAAACCACTGTTTCAGTTAAAAGTTATTAGAATAAAGGCTGAAGGATTTTTCCACCCACTGGGGCCTGGCAGGCTGGCTCTATGGACAGAAGCTACAAACCTGATGACCTGAGTCTGATCCCTGGAGAGTGTAGAAAACCTGTTCATGCAGGTTATGTACTGACCTCCACTGCACACTGTGGCAAGCTTGGTGCTACCCCATAGACCCCAAATAAATAAATATGTTAAAAAAGTTTTTTCCTCTGATTATCATTTGTAACCTTTTGTTTTATGACCATACTATTTTATTTAACATTTAAATATTCTCAATGGCATAAACATAATTTTCATAAACAAGTACCTGGTGGTTAGGAATTTACTTTTATTGCATAAATGTTTTTTTCTTCTGTTTCTTGCTAGTGTCGAAAACATTTGAAGAGTCGGAGATTAGTCAGTGCAAAACAGCTTGGTGTGGATAGAATTGTGGATTTCCAGTTTGGAAGTGATGAAGCTGCTTATCATTTAATCATTGAGCTCTATGATAGGGTAAGTTAAATTGAGAGGAGTAAAGGAATAGAGTAATATGCTTTGGTTTTCACTCCTTTCATTCAGTGTTATGTTTAAGGTGTTCATCATGTTCAACACTATCGTTGGTTTTGTTTTGTTTTGTTTTTTTAATACACAATGTTTTGTCTGCATGTATGCCTGCATGCCAGAAGAGGGCACTAGACCATTTTAGGTGGTTGTGAGCCAGTATGTGGTTGCTGGGAATTGAACTGAACTCAGGACCTCTGGAAGAGCAGCCCATGCTCTTAACCTCTGAGCCATCTCTCCAGCTCCCAACACTATTGTTTTAATTGATGATATTAAGAGTTATTTTAGAGCGAGTGCCAGGATAGGCTCCAAAGCTATACAGAGAAACCCTGTCTAAAAAAAAAACCAAAAAAAAAAAAAAAGATATTTTAATTCTACATCTTTTGTTTTTTTGATACGGCAGAGAAACCCTGTCTAAAAAAAAAAAACCAAAAAAAAAAAAAGATATTTTAATTCTACATCTTTTGTTTTTTTGATACGGTTTCTCTGTATTGACAGCATTGGCTGTCCTGGAATTCACTCTGTAGGCCTGGCTGGCCTTGAACTCACAGAGATCCGCCCGTCTCTGCCTCCTGCATGTGGGATTAGAGGCATGCACCACCACTGCCCAGCAAATAAAATTTTTTTTTAAACTTGGAGATAACACCAAATTCTTGTATACTGTACACTTACTTAGTTTTTACTAATGTTATATAATATTTGTTAAACAGTGGTATATAATGTTAATTGAATTGTAGACTATCTTCATTCATGGTTTTTCTGTTCCAATATATCCCATTGATTTTAAGGGTGTTTCCATTTGAAGAATCTGAACAAGTAGGTATGCATACTGTCTAGGTTCTAGAAATCCAATTAGTGATGAATTTGGGGTGGATACTAAGAATTTATGTATGAGAGTGTGCACTTGGGATTTTGTTTGGTTATTGTGGTATCTGTGAGAGGTAGTTGTTGATACCTAAAAATGTCCTTTAAAAATTGCTTTTTCCTTTTTGAACCAGAATTTGACCTAGCTTTCATGTCTGGAATTTTGAGGATTGGTGCATCTAGGGTTGATTAGACTGAGTGTAAAGAGGATTACTGCAACTCAAGATCAACTCAAGATCAAATTTGTATCTGACATATACAAATTTGAAGGTCGAGGTTTCTGTTACTCCTGGTCCCGTAGCCGTTTAGTCTCAAATAAACACATTGAGGCTTATTCATTATAAACTATTTGGCTGATGGCTCAGGCTTCTTACTGGCTAGCTCTCTCTTAATTATTAACCCATAACTATTAATAACTATGTATTTCTACATGGCCTTCTCTTACCAGAGAATGCCCGGTGTCCTATCTAACTGGTGGCTCCTCTCTGCCTTCCTCTTCCAAGAATTCTCCTAGTCTGGTAGCCCCGCCTATACTTCCTGCCTGGCCTCTGGCCAGTCAGCATTAATTCAACCAATAAGAGAAACATATATTCACAGCATACAGGACATCCCCCATCACAAATTTATAATAAATTTGGACTGGTGAGATGACCCAGCAGCTAAAAGTGCATGCCATGAAGCCTGAAGACCTGAGTACATTCCCTGGAACCCATATAAAGGTGGAAGGAGAGAACCAACTCCACATACCTGTCTCTAACCTTCACACACACACTGTGACACATTCATATGTCACCTCCATCACCACACATACAGCATATATATGTATACATTTGTGTATATGCATACACACACAAAAAAATCTAAAGATGTTTTAGTTATGACACATTTAGTAGGAGCAGCTCTGAGAAAAGTAACGTAAGATCAGAGGGTAGCATGGGGGTGTTATTTAATTAGAGTTTTAGTTTCAATTTGTTTGTTTGTTTGTTTTTCGAGACAGGGTTTCTCTGTGTAGCTTTGGAGCCTATCCTGGCACTCCCTCTAGAGACCAGCCTAGCTTCGAACTCAAAGCGAACTCAAAGGCGTGCACCACCAACTCCTGGCTAGTTTCAAATTTTATAAAAAAGATTTTTTATTAGCAAGGCACTGGTGGCAAACGATTTTAATCCCAGCATTTGGGAGGCAAAGGCAGGCAGATCTCTGTGAGTTCAAGGCTAGCCTGGTTTGCAGAGTGAGTTCCAGGATAACCAGGGCTACACAGAGAAAACCTGCCTGGTTGCTTGCTTCAGAGCTCAGTTACAAATGTTTGTTAGCCACCATGAAGATCCTGGAATTGAACCCTGATCCTCTGGAAGAGTAACAAGTTATCTAAACTTTCTCTCCAGCCCCCTAATTTCTTAATGGATCTTTTAAAAAGATAAATTATTTTTTCATTTTTAATTATGTGTATTTGTGCACATGCACTCATGCATTTGAATGCAAATGATCACAGAGGCCAAAAAAGCATCCTCAGCTATCTCTGGGAATAGAGTAAGAGAGAGTGGTGAGTTGCCTGCCATGGGTGCTGGATACTGAACTCAGGTCCTATGTAACCTGAGTTCTTAACCACGGAGCAATTTCCGCAGCCTGCTTTAATTTTCTTCCTCCCTTCAAAACAGGGCTCCCTATGTATCCTAGGCCGGCCTGGAATCTGGAATCTCGAATCTCCCTGCCTCAGCCTTCTGAATGTTGAGCTTATAGTTGTGCCTTACAACAGTTGGCTACACCACACTGTTGTCCTTTTTTATACATACTATGCTATTTCATAATTCTGTGCATTTGCATTTCATGTTCTCTTGACCTGAATTTTGTTTTTGTTTTTTTTGTTTTTTCGAGACAGGGTTTCTCTGTGTATCTTTGGAGCCTATCCTAGCACTTACTCTGGAGACCAGGCTGGCCTCGAACTCACAGAGATCCGCCTGCCTCTGCCTCCTGAGTGTTGACTGAATTTTTTGAAACTTGGAACTTTTGTTGTTGATTTGTGAGACAGACTCATGTACTTGATTCTGACTTCAAGCTTGCTATGTATCCAAGAATTACCTTGAACTCTTGAATCTACTACCTTCTGTGTGCTGGGATTATAGGCATGTGACATCATGATTGGTTTTGGTGCACTTATTAAAGGCTCAACTGTTAGGTTTTCATAGTGGACAGGTAACTTATGCAGGAACCAGACAAAGAATATAAAGTTGCTGTAGGTTAGCTCTAGGTTGCTTCTGACTTGGAGTCCTTAGAATTTATTTCACAGCCTATTGGGTCAGTGCAAGGAGCCCTACTTAGATGTGCCTGGTGCTTCTGTTTTGCAGCTTCATTTCTGTAGCTATAAGTAGGTCTTTTGAGACATCTTTTTCAGTTTTTTGTTTTGTTTTGTTTTGTTTTTTGAGACGGGTTTCTCTGTGTAGCTTTGGAGTCTATCCTGTCACTCACTCTGGAGACCAGGCTGGCCTCGAACTCACAGAGATCCGCCTGCCTCTGTCTCCCGAGTGCTGGGACTAAAGGCGAGCACCACCAACGCCCGGCCCTTTTTCAGTTTTTAAGATGTTTCAAGACCGATTTGGAAAAACATTAAATTATATTTTACTCTATTGCAGGGGAACATTGTTCTTACAGATTATGAGTACCTAATTTTAAATATCCTAAGGTTTCGAACTGACGAAGCTGATGATGTTAAGTTTGCTGTTCGTGAACGCTATCCTGTTGATCATGCCAGAGCTGCTAAACCTTTGCTGACTTTAGAAAGGTAACAGTGTTTATACAATCTTATTGTATTAAAAAATAAACTAGGTTATATTTCAGAATTAGAAAAAATTCCATTAAAATGTTTACTTGTATAACACTGAACTGTATAAACATACATATAAACAATTACATTTTGTTTGTGGGTAGCAAATGTCTCCCTCTCTCTCCCCAACCCTTTCCCTCCCTCCCTCTCTCTCTTTTTAAGGCAAGCTATGACTGGCCTAGAACTCTTTATGTAAACTTTGAACTCACAAAGATCCACCTGCTTTACCTCCAGATGGCTAGAATTAAGGTATACACCACCATGCCCAGTGGTGTTTATCTTTTTATGCTACAGTTTGGGTTACTTAATGCTGTGTTTTCTTGCCAAAGTAAGGTGCTGACTTCACTGTTCTGAGAAGACAGGTACATTAGGCAGGCAGAGTGCAATGTGGGGTAGATGTTCTGGCTTATGTCGGAAGAAGTGAAAGGGTAAGGTGATGATTAATGACAGCTTCTCTGGCTGTCAGGCTCTGCTACCTGGTAGTCCACTTGGTGGACTTCGAAGCTCAGGATTCATCAGAATCAGTGGGAGGCCTTGCTGAACTGTAAACTGCTCCATTGTTGCCATTTCAGTAGCTCCAGGGGGCACATTTTAACAGGTTCTCTGGTTTGGGGGCTGCATCAAACAACAGAATCTTTACCCGTTCTTAGCAAATCTTTAATTAGGTGTAACTATTGCAGGTGTTCAGATATGGCATGTACATTTACAAACAACATCTAACTTTTATATAGAAATGCATCTTTCATGGCACATTGATGATCAGCAAGCAGTTCATGACTTTGTTGAAAAATACTGATTTCTTATAGAAAACCTGGATTTAAGTCTCAGGTTGCCATTCAAGAAGCTTCTAATCAATGATAAAATATGAGCTTGGCGTGCGTGCGTGCGTGTGTGTGTTGATGCGTAGTCTTGCTGTGTAGCCTAGTCCGGCCTTGAACTCAGGGTGTTCCACCTACCTCTGAGTCACATTTATAAGCATGTATCGACACACCCTGCTCTGGATTTATATATATATATATATATATATATTTCTTTTCAAGTCTCTCTGCGTGTGTGTGTGTGTGTGTGTGTGTGTGTGTGTGTGTGTGTGTGTGTGTGTGATGTCTATGTGTATGTGTATGTGTATGTGTGCGAGTGCTTGAGCCACAGAGGCTAGAAGAGGGCATCAGGTCCCCTGGAGCTGGAATTACAGATGGTTGTGGATGCTGGGAACTGAACTCATGTCCTCTGCAAGAGCAAATGTTCTTAAGCTCTGAGCCATCTCTAGCTCCATGAATAAATTACCTTTAGAACTAGTTTTTCATTTCTACATAATAATTTGTTACATTTCAGAGTCTTCTAAAGATTAAATAAATGATATAGATAAAGGTATTATGAATGTAAATAATGCTATAAGGTTTATTAAATATAAGACAATAAAAAGTGTGCCAATTTTGTCCACAGATTGACTGAAGTAATAGCTAGTGCTCCTAAGGGTGAACTTCTGAAGAGAGTTCTTAATCCATTACTTCGTGAGTATTCCTGCATTTTGTAGTAGATGTTTGTGTGACAACACTTTTACAAATATATTTAAAAAATTTTTTTCTGGAAAGATACTCAAGTTCAGTTCACAGAGCCATGACCAGTGGTTCACAACTGCCTATAACTCCAGCTCCAGGGATCTGACACCCTCTTCTGACATTCATGGTTACTCACACACATGAGGCATACATTTACACAAACATACACATAAACAAAAATAAAGCATTATTTTTTTTTTTTGAACAAGAAGTTAAAAGGAATCATTTGAGTAAATATGGTTTTATTCTCACAGAAAGAAGTTTTTGTTTGTTTTGTGGTGCTGGACATTGAGTCCCGGGCTTTGTGATGATGAGCAGCTATCTACCACTAAGCCTCGTCCTGAAAGATGGAGAATTTTATATTGGTTAGATCTTATCTTAAAACAGTCCTGATGGAGCTGGGGATATAGCTTAGTTAGCAAGGTAATAGCATTCACAAAGCCCTGGGCTCAATCTCCAGCATTACATAAAAGTGGCCTGGTGGTACACACCTATAATCCCAGTACTCTTGTGAGGCAGGAGGATCAGAAGTTTAAGGTCATCAGTTGGCTTTGTAATCAGCTCAAGGCCAGCTTGGAATAGATGTATGAGCAACCCTATTTCTCACATAATGAATACAGTGGCTGAAGAGATAGCTTAGTGGTGAAAGTGCTTACTGCTTCTAAGGATCTAGTTCAGTTCCTAGCACCCACATGTGGCTCTCAAATACCTGTAACTCTGGTTCTTGGGCTTCTGACACTCTTCTGGCCTCCATGGGCCAGATGCAAATAAACCTATGCACATACATAATACCATAAAAACACATCTTTTAAAAGAATAAAAGTGGTATAGAATGTTATCATTACCTCATTATTGTAGAATTCAGAGTATTTGCTTTTTTTTTCAAATATCTTTTGTTTAATAACCACTTAGCTTAGTTGTTTGTATTTGTTTTATTTTATTTTTTTTTTTTTTACAAAATTTGTGGACCTCAAGGGTGATAGCATCTGCCAGATATTCATTCTCTCCTGTCCCTCTCAGCTTTGCTAGGTCCTTTTGTCTGTTTAGTTTTGTTTGGTTTTGACACAGGCATAGCTCAGCTTGCCTTGAACTTGTTATGTAGCCCAGGCAGCCTCAAACCAGCTGACCTTCCTGCTGCAGTTTACTTTGGCAGGTTTCTATGGCTTTTGAAATCAAGCAGTTTAATTACTCTTAGCTCTTTTTTTTTGTCCTTCCGAAGCCTTTGACTATCCTTTGCATTTCATTCTACAGTTTAGGGTTAAGGTATTGCTTTCTACAACAACAGAAGCCTGCTAGGATTTTGATGAGGGTTGCATTGGTTCTGTGTGGAAAATAGCAATTTTAATTACAGAGTCTTAAGTTCATTTGGATCTTTAAAATTTCTGTGTTTTTATGTATAAATATTATTCTTAAATGTCTGGATTTTCTTTTTGTGTGTTGTTAGTTTTTAAAAATTACTGTTCAGAGCTGATAAAGTCATATGGTTTAGAAGACGTGTGTGTGTGTGTGTGTGTGTGTGTGTGTGTGTGTGTACACATGTGGGGTTTTTTTTTTTTTTTTTTGGTCTTTCGAGACAGGGTTTCTCTGTGGCTTTGGAGGCTGTCCTGGAACTAGCTCTTGTAGATCAGGCTGGTCCCGAACTCACAGAGATCAGCCTGCCTCTGCCTCCCGAGTGCTGGGATTAAAGGCGTGCACCACCACCCAGCACGTGTATGTATTCTTTTAGGACTTCTTAGCATATAAAGTCATATCTCCTCTGAGAATAAAGTTGCTTTTTCTGTTTTAAACTGAATACTTTTGAATGATTATATCTTTAAAATACTTACTCTGTGTGGTTGTTTTATGGATATATGAATATGGTTTATCTTATTAGCCAGTTTTGTTTGTTTTAATTTAAACCTTTATTTTTTCTGTATTGTTTGATATTGATTGAATTCTCTATTTTACACCAAGCTATATCCTGGAGTCTTTTAGGTTTTTGTTTGTTCTCGGTTTTTTGAGACAGGGTTTCACTGTGTAGCTCTGGCTGTCTTGGAATTCACTCTGTAGACCAGGCTGGCCTTGAACTCACAGAGATCCACCTGCCTTTTGCTGTGATTAAAGGCAAAGGTCTAGTTTTTTTATGGCTCAGGGGTGTGTGTGTGGGTGTGTGTGTGTGTGGAATTAGAAGAGAGCCCTGGATCCCTAGAAGTAGATTTACAGATGATTGTAAATTATCGTGTGGGTTCTAGGAACTGTACCTAGGGTCTCTGTAAGAGCAGTAAGTATTCTCTTAACCACTGAGCAGTCTCTTTTTAGCCCCCACTCACCCCTGTCATTTGCTGTGTGGTACAGCCGAATTCCAACTTGGGATCTTGATGTTTCAGCCTCTTGGGATGGCAACCATGTTCTAAAATGCCCATCATTTTTTAAAATCTAGTACCCAATAAAAATTATATATTATTAGGGTAACAAGATTTTAATATACTTGTACAGTGTTTTTACTTGTCTGTTGCTTTAAATAGTTATCATTTCTCTAGAATAGAAACTTTCTAATACTTTCTTCTACCTTTTTCAATTATACAATACATTGGTGTTATCTGTAGGATCTCTGTGAGTTCAAGTCACTCTACTATGCAGTAATATACCAGAACTTTCTAACTTTATCTAACTCAGTACCTACTGGTCAACTTTTCTCTATCCTGTCATACCTGTTCCCCTGATAGCTACTGTCAGTTTCTGAGTTTTAATTTTTTTAACTTTACATACTGTGAAATCGTGTAATTCTTGTGTTTCTATACCTAGTTTATTTCACTTAACGTTAATAGTGTCCAGTTCCATTCTTGTTATTGCAAATGACAAAAATCACATAATTCCATTCTTCTTTATAGCCAAATTGCAACAGCATTTCAGTGTATACCTCTTTTTTGGTATTTGAGATAGGATCTCTCTGTGTAGTCCTGGCTGTCTTGTGTCACTCACTCTGTCTTGTGTCACTCACTCCTCATTGTTGTTTTGCTTTGCATTTCGTGGATATTTAGTGATCTTGTACAATAATTTATTTTATTACGTGTCGATTTGTAGGTATGTGAATCTGTGTGCCACTGCCTATAGAGCTCAGGAATCAGGCCCTTGTGGAACTATAATTAGGTCCAGTTATGAGTTGCCTCATGTGGGTTCTGGGAATCACACTTGGGTCTTCTGCTGAACTATCTCTTCAACCTGTGTAGAACATGTTTTTCATAACTTGGCCATTTGTGTATCTTGAAAAGTGTCTTAAGTATTGCACACTTGTTAATTGGAACATTTTAGTCAATTTTTGGAAAACAAATCAACCTTGATTTACAGTAACAAATCCCTGCTGGCCATGGTTTATAATTTTCCTTATGATTTCTTTGTGATATCAAGGATCATGTGCTGAACAAGTGCTCTGTCACTGAACTACATTTCTAGTTAATCTTATATACGTGTTGCTTAATGCTGTTAAATCCTGTACCATACACTGATTCTCTGCTTATTGTAATTGCAAATTTCTCACATTACTTCAGGTCTAATTCTAATACCATTTGAGAAGAAGTAAAATTATTTTCACTGGCTATTTATATAGAGTAGGTTACTCATACTGAGCTACAGATTTATTCTGTATTTTAAATGGGAAGCTTTATAGGAAAATAGTAACAACAATACTCTTTAACTCTTTACTTTCATAGCCTATGGACCAGCTCTTATTGAGCACTGTCTTATAGAAAATGGATTCTCTGGCAATGTCAAAGTGGATGAAAAACTTGAAAGCAAAGGTATGTCTGCATGATCCAGACTTTGTACATTTTCATGTTTCCTTTTTCCTTTGATCCTTTTTCGTGGTACTGGAAATTGAACCTAAGGCCCCACAAGTGCTAGGAAAATGTACTGCTGATAAATACCTCATTTATCCTCTTTTTTTGATTTGAGTTTTTTGGAAATAGGTTTCTCCTACATTGTAGTGTA